CAAGGGTGCTGTGGCAGGGCCATGAGAGGGGAGAGGCTCCTCATAGGGAGAAGGACCTCTGGGGTGGGGTGGCTGATACAGGGGCAAGGAGGCCAGGGCCAGTGTTCCAGCCAGGAGGCAGCTGTGCAAAGGCCCCGGGACAGGAAAGGGCTTGAGATGCCATCAGCAAACCTGGGAGGAGGCCGAGGCCTGGCACCTTCTGGTGGGGTGCTGGGGCCAGAGGCAGGGGCAGGATATGTAGTCCTAGGGACTCCATGGCTGCCCCTGACTGGGGGCCTTAAGCAGGTTTCAGTCCTGGTTTGATTAATGTTTTAAAGAGATCGCCTTGGCTGCTGCAATGGAAAGCAGGGGTGACGTGTCACCGTGGAAGTGGGATCAACACTGCGGCGATTGCGGAGGTTGGCCAAGCGAGCGGAGGGGCTGTGGGACAGGATCATGTGAGGGACTGGAGGACAGTGGCTTCAGAGAGGCTGGGAGTCAGGACTGGCTGACCGAGAGGCCATGGGGGTGATGGGGAAGAAGAGACTGGGGGACCTCTGGTTCTGGTGTGGCTTGGACGCACTCCCAGTGGGTGCACAGAGCGTCAGGCTCTGCAGGCCGGCTCTTTGTGGGTCAGCCCTGGCAGCACAGAGCTGTGGCATTAGACAGGGATTGACTCCAGTGCTTGGCAGCCATAAATCCACTTCTAAGAATCCTACCAGATGGCTGGGGAGCAGAAGATTAGGTGGAAAGTGGGGTGTCACTGACGGAACTCAGCACTGACTGTCAGAGGTGAAGATCTGACCTCAGTGGAGAATGAGGGAGAGAAACACAACAAAGGAGCGGAAGGAGGTGGAGAAAGACGCAGGCACCGGCTGGACTCTGCAGCACACTTCCCTCCTCCGCCCTGCTGGAGCCTCGACACACCCTGCGACTGACCAGCCAGGGTGTGCATTTAACAGAGAGGTCCGGCCACCTGCCCCAGCTTCCAGGGTCACCTCGAGGCAGCCAGGGCCCCAGACTGGGGCTGCAGCCTTCACACACCGTCAGTCTGAAGTCGAGAGCATTAAACTGAAATGTCCAGCTCATTGACCTCTCGGAATGAGGAGGAGTTCATTATCCAGGAACCCATTATGGGACTCACTGTTGACATCCAACTGTGGGGCTGCATTTTCAGGATCCCAGTGACTTATAAACCACTTCCCCCATAGTCTACAAACCCTCTATCTGTCTTCATACAGCCTTAGACTAAAAATGGTTTATATGCATTGAAAAAAAAAAAGTGTGAAGTTCACACTGTGGCGTCCGCAAATAAAGTTCTGTCATAACACAGTGATACCCACTGACTTTTGGGAGTGCCCAGGACCACTTTCCTGGCAGGACCAAGCAGCCGTGACATGAACAGCGTGGTCCACAAAGCTGAGAATGTTTACTCTGGACCAGTTGTGGAAGAAGTTTTAGACCCTTGGTCTACAGAGCTGTCCGTTCTGGCGGCTGCGCTCACCCCCTCCTGCCCAGTCCCAGCTGAGCACCAGGCCCAGTCCTGACCCGGCACCACCGTGCATCTGCACAGCCTCTGTGGCCGCATCAGGCCCTGGCTGCCTCCCGGGGCTGTCCCGGCTCTTCACTTCCCACTCCTCCCAGGGAACCCATGCATTTTCAAGGAAGCCCCAGAAAACCCAGCTGGGTAGAGGGAGGCTTGAGGCCTGTGTTCTCGGCTCTCTGCTCACAGGCACCCCAAGTTTTCAGGCACCCACACTCAGACGGGTTTGGAACCCAGAAGGAGACGAAGCTGGGTGTTGGGCCATGTTCTTACTGTGCTCATCCAGATGAGGGTGAAAGTTCCGGGGAATGGGCCGCCCCTCCCTACTGACATAGTTGCCTGACCCACCCTGGAAAGGGGTCCTCCTGCCACCCCCAAACTCGACCCCCACGTGCTAGCAGGCTAGTGGGACCTCCTGCATCAAGACCAGACCCAAGCTGGCTGCCCCCTCTGGAGGCAGCAGCTCCTTCCTCCCTCCGCGTCTCAGGAAGTGGAGCCTAGAGTCCACGGCTCGGGCTAATACCGGAGATCAGACTCTACGGCTCTTCTGGCGAGTCGGGTGTCGGGTCTGGGACCCCACGGACTCCCCCGCCCAGGCCCCACCGGTCTCGAAGCCTCCTTCCTCCCGCCCTCTGTCCCGCCGCCCGAGTGGGAGGCTTTGTTCCCGGCAGAGCCAGACCTCCGCGTCGGTGCGTGCGAGTGTGGGGAGGGGTCTCCGCCCTCGAAGGCTGGGGGCGGCCGGGGCGCCCGGCCAGTGGCCCGTGGGCGCTCGCTTTCGTCGGAGTCTCTGAACCCAGGGTTAGCGGAGGGTCAGGGGCCGCCAGGGACTCTGGCCCGAGCGGCTGGGGCTAAATCGCTTTGTCTCGGACAAAGAGCTCCCGACGCGGCGCCAGTGCGTCCAAGGGGCGGGCGGCCCACGGGCTGCGCCGGGAACGGCGTCTCCGCGCGCCCCGGACCAGCCCCGCCAACAAAGGGCCGCGTCCGCCCGCCTCGCCCGCCCGCCCGCCGGGCCGCCGCGGAAAGAAGGAGCCTCTGCGCTCCAAGGCACAGGCCGCCCGGCCCCGGGTCCTCCGCGGGCGCAGCCGAGGCTCCCGGAAGCCGGCAGGGCCCGGGCAGTGCTCCCCGCTCCATCAGGGGACCTGGCGCGGCGCTCGCGGGTACTCTCCGACCCCGGGCCGCGAAGGAGCTGGGCAGGGAAGCGCCCGGCGGGGAAGCGCCGGGCAGGGGCCGGGCGCGAAGCGAAGGCATGGCCGCCCCCTCCACGCACACGGCCAGGGGGGTGCGCCCCGCGTCCAGGCCCCGCTCGGGGTGGTGGGCAGGGAGCGTTGGGAGACGCAGGCCGGGCTCACCGTGATCCGGGGGATGCTCTTCTTGCCCTGGAAGGACATCCTGCTCCTGGGGGTCCCTGGCAGGGGCGGCACGAGCGGGGGCGGGCGGGGGAAGCGTGAGACGCGACGCGTGCGTGGGGGCGGCGGGAGACCTACTGCGAGCGCGCGGGGCCGCACGGCGCCGTTCCGGCTCCGCCCCGCCTGGCCCCGCCCCGGCCCCGCCTCCTCCTCTCGGGCCGCCCCGCCCCTCGGGCCCCGCCCCCACAGGGCCCCCGGCCCCCTTGGCCACGCCTTCGCCTTGAAGCCCCTCCCCGACCCCCCCAACTCCTCGCCCAGCGTATAAGGGGCGGCCGCAAGGCCTGATCTCTGCACCCCCAGCCCCCGCGCGGACCCGCGGACGAGCGCTGGGTGGGGAGGGGAACAGGATTTCAATCCGTCCCGGTTGACGCGCGCGGAGTTTGCACCCCGGGGAGGGGAGGGACAGTCCGGAGCGTCCCGCCAGCCCCGCTGCGCGCCTGCCCTCCCTGCCACGCGCAGCCCCGGCCCCGGCCCCGGCATTCCAAGCCAGCGAGGACCCCGGGCCGCGGCTCTCTGGGAGCCGCACCCGTCCCCGAAGGCGTCTCGGCCGAAGCCGGCTCCTTCGCGGATGGCCTGGGCCAGGCCCCAGCGCCAGGTGCGATCCTGCAAAGCTGTTCCACGCCGGCCGCGCGAAACAGAGGGCGGGAGGGGGAGCGCGAGTCAGAGAGACACAGTGACAGCGAGAGGCGCTCGCGCTCCCCAGGGACCGGGACCTGGTGGCGGGACGGGGGGGTGGGGGTCGCGGGACCCAGAAGGCTCAGGACCTTCGGGGACAGGGAGGGACCGCGGAGGGAAGCAGGTGAGCCCCACGCCTGGCGTCCTTCCGGCGCGAGTGTCTAGGGGAGTCCGGGTCCCCGTCCCGCGGCCGCTACCTGCTGGGGACCCCAGGCCTGGGCCACACCGGGCGGCCCTCGGGACTTGCCGCGGCCGCCGGGGGGTCTCCGCAGTCGCCGCGCGCCCCGCAGACCAGCCGCCGCCCAGCGCGTCCAGCGGCAGCGTCTTGCTCTCGAAGGCGTCCTCCACGTAGCGCAACACGCAGCCGAGCTTGGGCCGGGCCATCCTCGCGGTCACGGCAGGAGCGGGCGTCCGACTCCGGTCTCCGAGCCTGCTTGGCGGGGTCTGTGCGGCAGGTGCACCGGGCGGACCTGGCGGCCGCGCCTCCCTCCGCCTCCTGCCGCCCCCGCCGCCCCGCGCGGAGCTGGCGCTGTCCACGCAGCGGGTGCTTAACGCCCCAGCCTGGCCTCCCGGCGCTCGCTCAGTCCCAGCCACGCGCGGCTGCTCACCTTCGGGACACGCTGGGCGCTGGGAAGGCCGGGCCGGGAGCGCGCCCTGGGGAAACCGCTACGGGAATTGCGGCCGCATTTCAGGCCCCTTGGACCGTCCGACGCTAGGCAAGGCGGCCCTGACTCCGAAAGCCTGGGCGCGTGGGAGGGCCGGGGGGACCCGCCCACTGGAGCTGCTGCTGATCTCCCTTAAAGCCGAGTTAGAGGCCTGGGCGATTCTGTCACTATCCAGCCTGCAGCGGCTGAATTTGAACCCAGAGACTCCAGGCCTTTGCGTTAGCACAGTCCGCGTTTCAAAGCCGGAGTTCGGACACCGAGTCACCACGACCTCGAGTACTGGCGGGGCCTGAGCCAGCAGAACTAAATCCAGCAGCTTCCCACCCCCGGTCCTCCTTTGGTTCCCCCTCCCAAATGATTAACGTGACGTCCGCCACTCACCTGTGTGGGACCGTCCACGGCAAACATCACCAACTGTTCTTACTCAGCTGCAGAAGTTCTGTTCTTTTCCTAATTGTGTGGTGTCTCTGATGGTTCACATTTGACAAACAGCCACAGGAGGGGGCCTGCCCGGTGGCCGACCTGAGCCAGGTGCTGCTAGACCCCCTGACTGCAGAGCTCACCCTCCAGGTGATCTGGCAGGTGAGACCTGCGGCTTCCTCCACAGTGGGCGGAAGGCCCAGACCCTGTTTCTGGTGTGCAGAGGCACTGTTCAGAGAATGAACTCGAAAATGCAGAAATGGTTCATACGGCTTTCAGTTCACACTTTAATACCTTTGAGGGGCTTTAATCTAAGATTTAAAACTTTTTTTTATTAAAACTGTACAATAATTTACAAATGAGTAAAAATTCTCTGGTATATATCATAGGAATCACAATACAAAAATATTTGTAAAATCTTGTAGTAGATCACCATACAAACCTATGTTAGGCCTGTGAATACTGCTTAGCACTGAACAGAATGTCACGGGGTTAGAGGGTGCTTTGAAGGGACTGCCTCAGAGAATGCACACACTGCCCGCCATGCTGCCGTAAGAAAACAGGCCCGATTAGTTTTTGCATAAATTTACAATAAAGCTTTTTAAAAAATATACAGTAAACAAATATATGATTTGATACCTATATTCACAATATGAGTTTCCTGAGCCTAAACTTAAACTCCATTACTGTGTTAAAACACACTCCCCTTAGGTTTCAAGGATGGGATGACGGTGAGTGTCGGCAAATGCGTCAGTGCCTCCAGACCCACACTTGGGCACACTCTCCTTTTTGACTTCTGGTGTCGGTGTTCAAGCCCTGTAAGGCACTCGGGGTATCCTGAAGGCTACAGATTCTGCGAGGGCAGAGACTTTAAGGAACAGTCACAGTCCTTCTGCAGCTTGAAATCCGGACCGTGGGTACAAGGTAAACAACACACTGGTGTTAACAAAAGCATCTGCAATTTACATGGATTTTTAGCTTAGACAAAGTATGTTGTTCCGTATGTTGTGCACAGTGTGTGATGACGTTGATATAAATGTTGATGTCTCAGTTACACAGTAAACATTTCTGGCAACATTTCAAGGTCCCTTCTCTTGCATTATTAGGGGATGATGCATTTATACAGACTTCCCCTGTTAGAAGAGCTAGCAGTGAGACAGCTCACATACTTGGAGGACATTCAGTCTCGCCCATTGGTTTAGAAAAGAAGGTAGCCTACAATTTAGAAATGCATCTTATTTTTAAATACTTGAATTCTGCTGCTGCTCACTGGACCAGGAGGAGTCAGTGATAAATGCTCATATTTACGTTTTCTGGGGCAAAAACCCAGTTCTGAAATGCTGGATATTGTAATCAGATATAAAGAAGGTGCCTATGATAGATGAGTGAAAACGGTGATATCTAAGGAGAGGAACGGACGTTCCTGCTAGATGTGTGCTTTCGGGAATGGGCAGGGATGCAACGCAGCTTGGATGTTATTCACGTTCCTTGCACCTTCTCCCTTTCCTATATACATGCTTTTTACCTATAAACAATTACAACTTAATTGGTACATATTTACATGCTTCTCTTTGCTGTAGAGTTTGCCTTATTATTATTACAGAACTGTGGTTAAGAATGCCTGTGGTAGATAGGGGTCTATGAAGTGCTCCAAACATATACAACATGCAAAACCATGATGACCCAAATAAACAGGAGGGAAGTGAATCTGGGTGAGTTTCACTGCACACCTTCAGATCCTCAACAGCCAGCCCGTGCAGCTGTTGCTCCCATGCAGGTACACACTGGGGCCAGGCCAGGAGCTTCCCCAGAGGAGGAGGCCAGGCTGGCATGGAGCCAGGTAGAATTACAACATATTTCTGGATGCCTGTGTCCATCAGACTTCAACCCAGTGGTTCACCCACAGCTCCATGGTAGCTTCCATTAACAAGAGGCTATTGTGTGCCATTCAATTCTGAGTATAATAAATGTGCCAAGAAGATGCAGTCACTAAACTGAGACTAAACTATGCACAGAGGACTAAACAAGAGTTCAGACTTGAGACGCAAACACCGAGTCAGGCTCAGCGAGAGACATTGAACCAGCCCGGTATCTTGTCCGAGTAAATCAGGAACTGTGGCTTGAATAACAACAGAAACAGATGGGTCTTTCTTGGAGAAGTGGTGATTAATAGTGCATTTCCCAGCAGAAATCCTGCACCCACCAAAGAAAAAGCCTATCTGTCTGATCCTATTAGCTTTTCCCTGATTTTGACCTAGGGAACCATGCCTGGTCCGCAGCCACTATTTCATCTGCCCCAAAGTCAGACATTTCTTCAAACACAAACATGAAATGAACCTAATACTTCCAGACAACCCAATCCTCCCTCCAGCAATGGGGTCTGCTTCCTTTGTACAATGGTGCACGGTACATTCACAGCTGGCTGCACATCTGCCTACCCAGTGCCTCAACTTCTACCTACCTCAGAATGGCTAAATCCCGTGAACTGCTCTTCGGGTTGAGTGAACACATGCTTAAACGCATGCATGTGCACACGAGCGAGCGTGCACACACACACCTCTTGTAAATTCAGCTCTGAAAGCAATAACCTTAGACACCAAGGGTGGGAAGACAGAGAAGTTGCATCTGCAGCCAGTCAGGCTCCATTCACAGGCTGGACGAAGCTCCCGGACAGAGGCCTGGGTCTCCCAGCAGGAACGGAAATCACTCCTCATGTCGCTTTCACCAACGCACTGCTTTCTCTCTGAAAAAGAGTGGAGAAAATGCCATTCAGTGTGGTGACCTGGGGAACGTACGCGCCACGGGTCGGCACTCCAGGCATTTTGGAGCCTTGACCAGGCACTGGCTAGGTTCAGGACAGTCACTGAGACAATGGCGGGCGCTGCCCCCGGGGGTCCAGCACCAGCTACAGCACCATGTGCTGAGCCTCCAGCCTGGAAGACACACCCGGCCCCCACGGAAGGCCACACTCTCAGGAGGATGAGTCCGTGCTCCCTGCAAAGCCCCTACAGAAGTGACCTCGGATCTCTCTCACGATGTCTAGGCCAGTGGCCCAGTTTCTTCGGCTTCAAATTTTTTCTTATTACAAGTTTGATGCTTCTGCAGAAGTTATGAAGGAGCTGCTTTTCACAGGGCGGGCCCTGGATCAGCCCCTGGAGCACGGCAATGTGGGCGGGAGGCCGTGTGGGCTGAGGGGCGGGAGCGAGGGCACGCTGGGGCAGAGCCAGAGGCCAGCAGCAGAGACACCACGGTTTTCTAACCTAGGAGAGGTCTGAAGAGTTTTTTGGTTTTTGATTTTTTAACCTAACTTCTAAGTAAGAGGATATTACCTCAAAAGAATGAAAAATAAATGCAGTCAAATGACACATACGTGTTTGTTTCTTCACATAGTAAGCGTTACAGTTGAAATCTCTGCTGCAATTAACATTGTACATTGTCCTTTGTGCCTTTAATCTGATTCGTTTCTAAATCGGTTGTCGTGGAAACATCAATCTTTAGAACCTACAGGAGGAAGGGTACCCAGCCGTCCAGCCCTCATATTTTGCAGATGGAAATGCTGAAGCCCCATGTAAAATAGGGGTTTCCCTCAGTGATACTTTCAGGCTGAGCAGGGCCAAGAATCCGGACACGTACCCAGTAAGACTCCTCCCCCGTCAATGTGTCTCCGAATTCTGTGATTACTGCCTGGGATATGAACTATCGACATGCAAATACAGAACAGAGGTCTTGCTGAAAATATTATGCAGTATTTTAAGAAATCACTCCCCAGATTGAAGGGACAAGACCAGGGCATTTGCTTTGCTGTGGCCACCCAACCTGCTCCAGAGCCAGCTGCTCTCCATGGGCAACGCTCTCCGCTCACTGCCCTACTTCCAGAACAGGTGGTGTTCCGTCCCATCCATGGCTGCAACACACTCGCGCGCACACACACACACACTGCACAATACACATACATGCACACACAACACATACACAGTGTACATACATGCCCACACACCACACACATGCACTGCACATGTGTACACACAATGCAAAATGCACACACACACCATACCACACTACACACATGTGCACACAACACTTAGACATACACACACATGCCCAAACATGCCATTCACACATAGTACACACATGCACACAACATATACACACACATACACAACACACCCCTCACAGACACTGCATATGCATACATGCATGCGCGCATGCGCGCACGCACACACACGCACACACACGCGCAATGTCTGTTTCCAGGTTTGCAGTCTTCCCAAATCCCTGCCCTCGCACCCTGTTTTTTCTGTCTCCTCTGGGGGATGTGGTCTTCTCCCTCCCACCCTCCCTGCCCTTTCTGGCCACCATCCCTCACAGTCAGCTGAGTACCTCATCCAAACTGGAGCCATGTCAGGAACAGGACAGGTGGGAGGCAGCCACCCATGACTCTGGCCTTGGTCTCTGTGGCTCCATGGGGCTCCTCAGTGCCCCCATGCAAGCCCTGGCCCCCCGAAGTCCTCACTCCGGAGTGTCTCTGTGGACGGGCCTGAGGCTACTAGATACAGAAGTGCCTGCTTGCAAGGGTGGCCATCGGCTGGCATCTGGAAACTTGGCTTTGAAGCATTCCTTTAGTGAGGAGGTTTCTGCCTAGACCGTTTGTGCAAACAATGTGATTTATGGCAAACGCCGGCCTTTCTTTTGAGGACCTGGCATGTCAGTGAGTAGCCCCCAGTCAAAACCCTGAATTTTGGGTCTTAGCTGGAATTCCCTGGGCAGAAGCACTGCACACGTGGGGCTGCATTTTGCTACTGGAGGGAGTGTGTGGTCCTCCAGGAGGAGAGCGTGGTGAGGGAGAGCACGGGAAATCTGCTTACCGGCCCCTCCAGGCTGTGCCTGTGAACTCTTCCCTTGCAGATCCAGCCATGCCTCCTGATTATAGGGCTGTGAAAATGGTATGGCTGTTGTTGTGTGACTGTGCTGTGGTGTGGCTGTGTCATGCCATGGGTGTTGTGGTATCTCAGTGCTGTGGCCTGGGTGCCGTGGTGTGACTGTTGTATGACTGTGCAGTGGTGTGGCTGTGTCATGGTATGGGTGTTGTAGTATGCCTGTGCTGTCGTCTGGATGCTGTGGTTTGGCTGTGCCATGGTGTGGCTGTACCATGGCATGGCTGTGCTGTGGTGCGTCTATACCGTGGTATCGCTGTACTGTGGTTTGGCTGTTGTGGTGTGTGCCATAGTGTGTGTGCACTGTGGTGTAGCTGTGCCATGGTGTGGCTATGCTGTGGTATGTCTATACCATGGTGTGACTGTTATAATGTGGCTGTGCCATGGTGTGGCTGTGGTATGCCTGTGCCATGGTGTGGCTATGCTGTGACTATTGTGTTGTGCCTGTACTGTGGTGTGACTATCGTGGCGTCTGTGCTGTGGTGTGACTGTGTCTGTGCTGTGGTATGTCTGTGCTATGGTATGGCTGTTGTGTGGTTGTGCCATGGTGTGGCTGTGCTGTGACTGTGCTGTGACTGTTGTGGTGTGTCTGTGCTGTGGTATGACTGTCTGTGCTGTGGTGTGTCTGTGCTGTGGTATGGCTGTTGTGTGGTTGTGCCATGGTGTGGCTGTGCTGTAGCTGTGCCGTGGTGTTGCTATTGTAGTGTGGCTGTGCTGTGGTGTGACTGTTGTGGTTTGTGCTGTGGTGTTGTGACTGTTGCAGTTTGTCTGTGCCATGGCATGGCTGCTGTTGTGTGGCTGTGCCATGGTGTGGCTGTGCTGTGACTGTGCTGTGGCCATTGTGGTGTGTCTGTGTTGTGGTGTGACTGTGTGTCTGTGCTGTGGTGTGACTGTGACTGTGCTGTGGTGTGACTGTGTCTGTGCTGTGGCGTGTCTGTGCTGTGGTATGGCTGTTGTGTGGCTGTGCCATGGTGTGGCTGTGCTGTGACGGTGCTGTGGCCGTTGTGGTGTGTCTGTGTTGTGGTGTGACTGTGTGTCTGTGCTGTGGTGTGGCTGTGCCATGGTCTGACTGTTGTATGATGTCTGTTCTGTGGTGTGGCTGTTGTGGTATGCCTGTGCCATGGTGTGGCTGTTAAAGTATATCTGTGCTGTGGTGTGGCTGCTGTGGTGTGGCTGTAGTGTGGCTGTTGTGGTGTGTCTGTGCTGTGGTGACTGTTGTGGTGTGTCTGTGTGCTGGGGTGGCTGTGGTGTGGCTGTTGTGGTGTGGCCGTGCCATGGTGTGGCTGTGCTGTGACTGTGCTGGGGCCATTGTGGTGTGTCTGTGTTGTGGTGTGACTGTGTGTCTGTGCTGTGGTGTGGCTGTGCCACGGTCTGTTGTATGTCTGTTCTGTGGTGTGGCTGTTGTTGTGTGGCTGTAGTGTGGCTGTTGTGGTGTGTCTGTGCTGTGGTGACTGTTGTGGTGTGTCTGTGCCCTGGGGTGGCTGTGCTGTGACTGTTGTGGTGTGTCTATGCTGTGGTGTGGCTGTTGTGGTGTTGGTGCTGTAGCATGGCTGTTGTGATGTGTCTGTGCTGTGGTATGGCTGTTGCGATGTGTCTGTGCCATGCTGTGGCTGTGCTGTCACTGTTGTGGTGTGGCTGTGCTGTGGTGTGGATGTTGTGGCATGTCTGTGCTGTGGTGTGGCTGTGACATGGTGTGGCCCTGCTGTGGTGTGACTGTGCTGAGTCCTAGTGAGTCCCCAGACATGCAGGTGGTTTCCGGGACCCCCCAGAACATCTGCTTCCACTGTTCTCAGGGAGGGGGCAGGAAAATGCTTCTTAGGTGGGTGAGCTTCAGCTGACAGGAGAGAGGCAGGATGTGGAAGAGGCAGGATGTGGGGAGCTCAGGGATGGTGCTGGTGGAGCCCCAACCAGCTCAGAACCTGGGAAACCCCAGAGTCCAGTCGACAGACACTGCCCCGCAGTGGCGTGTGATGCTGGGGAAGGATGAGCAGCAAGGCCCCGCCCTTCGTGCTGGAGGGGAGAGCCTGGATAATTTTATTTTGGGCTGCAGTGAGGATGGCTGATGAAGTGTAGGAACAAGTTGACCACCACAGTCATGAACCTGGCTCACTGGGCCGTGCCAAGAACCACACAGCAGGGGCAGGAGATAGCAGCATGTCTGGGGCACCACCCAGGGCTGGCACGGGCACTTCCACAGTCGGGGCCCAGCCCCATAGGCGTGAAGGCACCAGAACCTTGCTGAAAGCTGCAGAAACAGAACCCCCATCAATAGCACCGTGAGCAGCACGTGCAGACGGAGTCGTACATATGGATCAGGAAACAGCATTCTGATTTATGTCAAAACAGAGCCTGAAGAACAGGCCCCTGCCGTCTGTGTGTGTGCTGGGAATTTCCACTGGGATCTCAACTGTTTGGAAACATAACGTGGTTGGCGAGGAAGACAAGAACCTTCCTGGGGTCCGGGGCTCCTCCTGCTTCAGCATCATCATCAGACGATGAACCCACTGGACGCCTCCAGACCCACAGCCCAGTTTCCAAAACTGTGCACGAGACAAGCAACCCCCGGGGTCTCACACAGGGTGAGCCGCTTGGGAGGGGTAAGACTCTGTGGCCTGGATCCTTGCTCTCTTCCCCAACACTGCCCACAAATACACAAATTCCCAGCTGAGGAGACACAGAACGTGGGCTGAACACAGGACCTCTTGTCTGAGAAACTTTAGCCAAGCATCTTCAAACCAAACAAACAAATGGCAACCACCAAATCTGCTCACGGTCAAGATGTTCTTCTCTCCAAGCTCTGATTTGGGGG